GGAGGATTTGTGAGCTTCCATCTCCATATTAATAGCAGAAAACTGGGGATTCTAGTGGACCATAAGCTTAATGTGAGCCAGCAGTGCAATGCAGCAGTAAAAAAGGCTAATGAAATTTTAGGCTGCATTAGAAGTATAGTGTCAAGGTCACAAGAGGTATTGATGCAGCTGTACACTGCTTTGGTTAGACCTCACCTGAAGTACAGAGTTCAGCTTTGTGCACCACAGTTTAGGAAAGATGTCAATAAGCTGGAAGGAGTCCAGCACAGGGCAACAAAGCTGTTGAGGGGTTTGGCAACCATGTCCTATGAGGAGAAGCTGAAACAGCTGGGAATCTCTACACTGGAGGAGAGACATTGTGAGGTGATATGATCACCTCCTCCTGATACCTAAAGGGAAGCCATATGGAGAATAAAGTGGGTATACTTTGAGTACTGTTGAATGACAGACCTGGACTAATGGATATAAACTACAGCAAAGGAGGTTTTGTCTCAGTTTGATGAAGAATTTCCTAATGGTGAGGTGTGTTTAATGCTGGAACAGTCTCCTTTGTGAGGTGATTGATTAACTGTAGCTGGAGGTTTTAAAGAATTGATCGGGTACCTCCTTGTCAGGGATATTATAGCTGCTGCGTGGACTAGATGACCCTGGTGGTACCTTCCAACTCTGAGATTAAAAAAAATAAATAAAGTCGGGGCTTACCTATATCACAGTGATCACCCATATATCCAGGTGGGCACAAGCAAGTGATGTGCCCATCTCGGTCCTGGCAGGTACCAACCCCACACGGTTTTTCTTCACATGTCTTGGGTGTGCCTGCAGTCATGAAAGGAAGGCAGATAGAAATTTAATTATCCTGACAATTGCATAGCTTATCAAACCACCAACACTTAATAGCAGGGCTTTTTTTGTAGAAAAAGCCCAGCAGGAACTCATTAGCATAATAGGCCACACCCAACAGCAGAAACTCATTAGCCTATTAGGCCACACCCCTGACAGCACAGCATATTAACATATTAGGCTACACTCCCATGTTACCAGAGGTGTGGTCATCCAGCTACACCCACCTCTTGCTTCTTATTCTGTTTACCTTGTTTGTTGTCAAAACCCAGGGCTTTTTTTTGTAGCAGGAACCCCTTTGCATGTTAGGCCACACACCCTTAATGTAGCCCATCCCTTAATGTAGCCCATCCTAATGAGTTTCTGCTGTTGGGTATGGCCTATTATGCTAATGAGTTCCTGCTGGGCGTGGCCAACTTGGGAGCCAGCCGGAACTCCGTTCCTGTGCGTTCCTGCCCAAAAATAGCCCTGCTTAATAGTAATTGAATACATTTTCCTGTAATTCTGCCACTCTGAACAAGGACTGGCTTTGGGTTTTTGTGATGATGTCACCACATGCCATGTTCTTTCCCTTCACGTATACCTGAGGAGATATGAATATAGTGTGTCAACTGCTATTTTTGGAAAAGGTACAAAAGACGTGCCCAAAGGTGAGCCCCCCCCCAAAGGTGCCTATACTTAGAACTGGTGAATACCACCACATATACCAAAAAAAGCCCTGGCGGCAACTAATGTAAATGATGTAGGGACTGATTTAAAAAATTGATTTAATAAGATTTAAATAACAGATCAAACTTCCTCTAAATGAAATGAAAAATGATTTAAAGAACAAATGTAACACTAACTCTTAACTTGAGCCAAGAGGAAAGGCAGGGTATACATATTTTAATAAAATAAACAAATCAAAATTAGCTATGATGAGTGTGTGTCAAGAAACGTAGTTTATCTATAAGAACTATTTCTGCTACGTTTTTGGTCACCTCAGAGACTTTCTCTGGTTGCTCTGTTAATTAAGCCAGCCTATTTTCTTTACAGGGTTTCCTTCACTGCTCTCCCTTCAGCTCCCTCTTTTTGCCCAAATCTTTCTGACTGACACTAATGGACTCCAACCGACTTTCCCCAGGGCCTTCTGGTTTTTAAACTTCCACATATCAGCTGTGCAGCTTTCCAATCAGACCAATCACAGGCATGCCAAGAAGGGATTACTCCTCTTTCACCTCCAATCAACTTCTTCAAAACTTACTTCCTCTCCCACACTTGAATTTCCCCCATTCTTTTTTGAAACTTTACAGTTAATTGAGCAAAGTTTAAGTTCAGTGGCACTTATACCCAGCATAAAACCTTGTTGGTCTTAAAGGTGCCACTGGGTTCAAACTTTGCTCTGCAGCTTCAGACCAACATGGTTGCCCACCTGAATCTTTACTGTTAGTTGTTCAACTAAAAGTCCACATGTGGTCACTAGGGCAAGAGGCCTACAGAGCCTCACTGCAGTTAAGAAGCACAGCTCCCCCACTTCCAGCAAGAGACAGCCTGTGTGGTGAAATGGACAGAATGTCAGACCAGAACTGAGACCTGTATTCAAATCCTTCCTTCCACTGTAACATTCACTAGGTGACCTAGGTCTGGCCACTCTGTCTCAGCCTAAAATTATTATTCTGGGCCAATTTGTCCTATTTTCTTTCTCTTTTTTCAGACCTTTTCTTTTTTGGTACCTGGAGATTACCTCAGTCTTTCCCAACAACAGAACTTGCTGGCAAGCTGCTTTAGGTGGCGTGGTGAGGTGCTGTCCCAGTTAAGAAAACTAGATGCTTACTGGGTTTCTAAAGTGTTTACAAAAGATATTCCTCATAGTCCTCAGTCAACAATGTGAGAGATGATAATGGAAATATATGTCACAAAACTATCCCTGTCCTGTGATGTAATGAAGCTTGAAGGATCTTTTTGGGCTGGTAGCAAAACGGTGAGTGGGGGGGTGAGGGTAGGGGGCATGTGAAATGCAATGCTGAAAAACAGGCAAGGTGAAGCCTAGTGTGTCCTGGCATAATTCATCTCCCAGGATGTCCTAGGTCTTTCATCTGTTATCAGTCACTGAACTCTTAGCTAAAACAGCAGAAAACAACTAGAGGTATGGATTCAAACAGAGCCTACTTCTGCTAAACCAGTGTGGTCAGAGTGCTGGTCAGAGTGCTAGTCAGAGTGCTAGACGATGCTTAGGGACACCCAGGTTTGAATCTCCACTCTGTCATGGAAGTTGGACTGCACTCAGCCTCACAGGTTGTTGGGAGGGTAAAATGGAGGATGGGAGACCAAGGAAAGAAGCCACTTTGGGTCCCCATTTTGGGCAGAGTATAAATGAAGAACATAAAAAGGGTTCCCCTATTTTGATAATTACGTCTTTGAATAAAAGAGGTAAATTAATGGAGCCACTCTGCAGTTGGCTGGCAAACTATGAACACAAATGCATTTTGCTATAGAAGAATTTGAATGAAAACGTTAGCATTAATTTCATAGAACATTTTCAGTTCTTCTAGCACTTTTATCACCATCTCTTTATCCAACAATATTTTATTATTTAATCGCCAAATATTTGATGCCTTAGTCCTAAACTTTAATATTAATTAAATCATGGTGTAGGGGGCAATTGAAGGGTTCAAGTGATTTTCTATTGATTATTGTTGATTTCCAGGAAGCTTTGGGAGAGATTCTTTGGGGCTCTCCTGGAGAATTAATAAACAGTTTAAATCACTAAACAGCATTATAAGAACAGGTGTTTTAAATCACTTTGACACTTTCTAATAAGCAGGTGTTCTTATGTCACCTTTTTAATTGGACTGAGATGAGCAAAAGACCTGTCATAAGTGAAGAATAATGAGAACCTCTCTACTTCAAAAAGTGAGTTCAGAAGTTCGTTTCAGCTTCTGATTTTTAATAATTTTAAATAAGAGTATTTTAACATATCAATATTGAACTAATGGGGTCTATAAACAATATTGATATATATGTTTGCCTTTTCCCAGCCTATTTTAAATAGAAAAGACTTTGTTTGAGAAAGCTTTAACTGATGCCAGTGAAGGGAGTTTTGATGGCAGAGAGCCCACTGCTAATGGTGGAAGCCTTTTACTTCAAAGGAATTAATCAAGATGTTGTTAACAAAGGTTAAAATTGGGGTAAAACAAAGGACAGCTATATATTGTAACAGGGAAACCCTCTTTCCTGATCTGTTGTGTGTGTGTGTGTTTAGAACTCTATATTTTGTGTAAAGCTGAACATATAATATATTTGTAAAGACAGCAGCTAGCCAAAATATTAATTTTTGCTACCAAGTTTACTTTTTAAAGGCAGAGGGTGCTTGCTTAGGACACTCAAAATTAACCTGGCAAAGATTTATAAACTACTGACCAAGAGCTGACCAGGTGTCTGTGGAAAGTCCAGCCAAAATAAAATACATTAATCATGGGCATTGGACAGTTAAAAAAGCCAATTAAGAAGTTCAGGTGTGTCTTCCATACAAAATAGATTTAACAAGCAGAAAGTTGGGAGATACTCCAAAAGGTTTATGAAAATGAAATAATAAATCATGCACACCTGAAAGCCAATTAAAAATGCAGAACTTGTATTATAAGAGGGTGACTCCTGCTGGTTAAAGTAAAATAACATATCTTGACGAAATAAGGAAATTTAAAGGTTTAAATATTCTGTAAAAATTCCCTGATGGACCAAAAATGGAGAATAATGTGTAATACAATGTATCTACAAAAGTTTCTAATAAGCTGTGTGCTTAACTTTCCTCTCCTCCTCCATAAGTAGCACAACTTACCCGTGTCCTGACATCACGACAGCATATTGTGTTTTGCTGTTTCCAACAAATGGTAGAATATGACATAGAACACAGTCAAGGAAAAGTCATACATTGTGACATCAGGACACAGGTCAGTTCTACAAGAGTGGAAGCTAAACATATGCCTGCCATTTTTGGTGGTAGTTATAGTTGTGAAAATGCTTTGGCTTCAAATGGACATCCCAAAATCTTTATCGGTCATTTAGGTGAACAAGGATGTTACCTGTTGTGCTACTGAAGAAAGGAAAGGGCAGACTGTGAACATTCAGGAGTTTCAGCTAAAGCTATCACAGGTTTCTCTATTCCATATTTTTAACTGTACCTTCTGTTGTAGGCCCTATCACCTCTGGTGATACTTCAGGCAGGACATCTGTAGCAGTAGGAGGAGTAAGGGGAACCTCTGGAACAGCAGTTTCTTCTGTTTCAGACAGTATATGTGTAAAAACCTTTGTTACAACTTGGGGCTGTTCTGTACTCTTGGCATATTCAGTTGTTTCAGAATCTGGATCGCTAGTGCTGAGCAGAATGTCTGGTGAAAAGGTTTCCTCTGGACCATCTGAGGCAGGATAAGGGGGTGGCCCTGAACTATCCCCATGAATCTGACTTCTTTCTTCATATTGTCCAGAGGGCAAGCCACTGATAAAAGGTACCCCGGATGTTTCTGAGTGGCTTTTGGGTAAAGCAGATGCTTCACTACCTGTTTCAAAAAAGGTTGATGTTTCTGGGTGGTGTTCAGGCAACACTGATGCCTCTCCACTAATTTCATGAATAGTAGAAGTTTCTACATTATCTTCATGAAATATAGATGTTTCGCCAATAATATCATGATATTCGGGGGTTTTAATGGTACTTTCGGGATATGCAGAAGCCTCTCTGCCAGATGTGAAGGCATCGCCACTTGATTCCGGAAAATGGCGATGCATTGCTTCTCTCCCGCCGGCCAGTTCCTGTGAAACTGTTGGTTCTGTCACAGCCTCCACTAAATCAGAAGTTACTAAAGTGACCTCTGGAATTCCAGAGGTTTCACCACTAGTCCCAGCTATAGCTGAGGGCTCTCCACTTAGATCAGTGACTCCAGCAATTTCGCCACTAAAATATGGAATTCCTGATGATGCCCCACTGATGTCAGCTGCCCCTGATGGCAGTCCACTAATGGTTGTCACATCATACGGTTCAATGGATGTTTCCCCAGAAGGAAACCCACTAAATTCTAATATTCCAGATGTTCCTTCTCCTGCTTCCTGTGCAACAGATGGCTGTGTTGCAACTTCCACCAAAGTTGTATCCACAAGAGAGATGGTAGGAAGCCCAGATGGCAGCCCACTATAATCATAAATTCCAGATGGCAGGCCACTGGTCAGACCAACACCAGAACTTTCTCCACTAATGTCTGTTAGTCCACTTGGATGTCCACTGACTTCATGAGTACCTAAAGTCCATCCACTGAAGTCGATTTGGCCAGAAGTCTGACCACTTGTGTCCAAAATTCCAGATGGTGTGCCAGATATATCCTCATCTCCTGAAGGCAAGCCACTTATTTCCACAAACCCTTTCCCTTCTTCTTCTTTAGTAGAAGGGGTTGTAACTTCAAACAAATCAGCACCAATGAAGGTAACCCCAGAAGGTTCACCACTTTCATCAACACCCGAACCTTGACCACTTAAGTCCACAAACCCACTTATATCAGGTATCCCAAATGGGATTCCACTGAGGTCAGTTCCTGAGGATAGCCCACTGATATCTGGTAGACCAGATGGTTGTCCATCAGCATCAAGTCCTGATGGTAATCCACTTATATCAGGTATCCGAGACAGTTCTCCACTGATATCAAGTCCTGACGAAAACCCACTGATATCAGATATTCCACTGATGTCATATCCTGAGGGTAACCCACTAGTTATCCCACTAATATCCCACTCAGCAGAGGGCAAGCCTGATAAGTCTCCATCTCTGCTGAGCACAATCGTTCCTTTCCCTTCCATTTCCTTTTCTGTCTCTGTGGTTACAACTTCCACCAATGTGGCATTCACAAGAGACACTGTTGGAAATCCAGATGTAAGACCACTGTAATCAAACTCTCCAGATGGTAAGCCACTGAAAAAGTCCAAACTGGAACCCTCTCCACTAAATCCAGACGGCAGCCCACTAATTTCTGGAATCCCTTTGCCTTCTTGAAGTCCAGGGATTATTTCCCTGTGGTCTAGGATTCCAGAACCAATCCCTGATAATTCTTGATCTCCGGAATGTAAAATGCTGACTTCAATAATGCCAGAAGGCAGGCCACTTGTGTCTCCTGATGGTAGCCCGCTTTCTCCAGAAGGGAGCCCGCTGAAATCTAGGGTTCCAGAGGGAAGTCCACTTTCTGTAAACCTAGGGAGTTCCCCACTAGGTTCAAACATCCCACTGATATCTGGAGCTCCTGATGTCCACCCAACAGATGTTTCCGTGATGGGAACTTCTGCACTTGTTTCATCAATGTCAACAGGAGAAACAGCTGATGGACTCACTAAAGAAAATAAAAAGCACAGGGGGGGGGGGAGAGAGAGAGAGAGAGAGAGAGAGAGAGAGATTGATTAAAAAGATCCTGGTCAACAACACTTTGTGACAATTTCCAGTGTAATATATGGAGAAACAGATATCATTAAATCATTGGTCCACCTAGTTCAGTATCATCTGCTCTTGACTGGCAGTAGCTCTTCAGGGCCTCTTCCATGATTTTAAAAATTTCAATGATTTTCATAGCAGTAAGCTTTTTTTTTTTTTTTTTAATAAAGTCTGTTTGGGCCTTAAAAGTCAAGTTCTATGTCTGTTTCAGTAATGATCTGAACCAGGGGGAGTGGGGAGAGATTAAAACACTACATGCTTGGATGTTTCTGCTTGACATGTGTAAATTAGATGCCACACTGGAATGAGTCTCGTATGAATGAGCCCTATCAAAAACTGGGGTAACTATTGTGGAATATGGCCTATGCTTGCTGGGTTCAATGCCTCCTTGTGCCCCTTTTTCAGTGGATATCAGCCATACATGGTTTGTGAACCAATAGAGCCAGACAGAGGGACTGTGGAATTAAATCCCAACTCACCATATATCAATGAGATGTTTGTTGGAAATACCTCTGTTCCCCACTCAGTCTGATTTTCAGAATCAGTGGCAAACTCCATTTCCACAGTTGTCTCTTCTCCAGAAGGGACCTCCTCAACCCCAGGGACCACTTGGGTTGCAATTAGATCCTCCTCAAAGTCCTCATACAGAGATGGTAGAGCTGAAAGACAATTTGTTGTTGTGAATATCCCTTTTCACCTCCAAGCCTGATGTTCGTCCCATAGAAAGTTTTTTTTAAAAAAACACAAAAACAAAATAACACAGTGCAAGGATGTTCATGTGCTCCTCCATCTCTTGTTTCTCTCAGCTGAATAAGTGAATTGCCTCAGCTATTGTCTTTGGGGTTGACTTTTGAAGAGAGGAAAGCTCTCTCTGTTGTGATGAATTAGTTATTGTTCATTTACCCATGCAAATCACATGATATTATTGTCAGTGATAAATGGGCATGTGTGAACCTGCTCAACCCACTACAGTTTGAACAGATGAAGCTGCCTTATACTGAATCAGACCATTGGTTATTAATACCAGGATTGTCTACTCTGACTAGCAGTGCCTCTCCAGGGTCTCAGGTTCAGGTCTTTCTCATCACCTACTGCCTGCCTGCTGGATATGCTGGGGATTGAACCTGAGACCTTCTGTAGATGCACTACCACTGCTCTCCCCCAAAATCTAGAGAAGGAAAAGTGGACTGTTTTTATTTTGATCATAACTTATGATCCAATAAAAATTAAATGAGCCAAGTCCTTAGGAGGAATGATTGCAAAGGGGAAGCCATGATTGTTTATTGTAGCAAATAAAACAAAAGTCCAGTGGCATGTAAAAGACTAACATTTATTTCTATATGAGCTTTCATGAGTCACAGCTCACTGATTTATGTAATCTTAGTTCTCTTTGCTTATCAGATGTCTTACTTATTGACTACCCTGATTTACAATGTGTAATCCAGTTTGAGTCTCAGTGAGGTATACGGACTATAAACAATGTAAATAAAATAATAATGTGAAGATCAAACTGGGAACAGGAACTAAAGTTGCACAAAGAGTAAAGCCTATAAAACTGTCAGTAAGAATGAAATGCTGAGCTAGCTCCATTTAACTCAACTTTGTCTTCACACAATAGGAAGGGAAAGTGGTAAGGCACAATGGTTGATTTCACCCCTGGCCTGTATTATATAAAGTACCAATGGAACACTGTCCCTGCCTGCAGTCCCCAGAAAGACCCTGATTCCTGTGAGGTAGATAAGGCTGAAAGAGAATGACTGGACCAATTCAATTCGGAACATCCAGAGCACTTAATAATGTTGTAATATTGTAGAAATGATTTTAAATGGTTTTAATTGTGTTTTATGTGCGGGCCTATGCCTGATTGTGAGCCGCCCTGAGCCCGCGTAGTGGGGAGGGCGGGCTATAAATTGAACTTATAAATAAATAAAATATAAATAAATAAATATAAGAACCACTCAGAAAACTACAGGGCAGAGAGGGGATGAGAACCCTAATTTCCCCAGTGCTATTCCTCTGCTGTAACGTATGCTATTATTTTGGTCCTGTAATGTGTCAAAATCAAGATGAGGAATAGGATATTACCTCTGAAGCAAAAGGCGTGGTGCCTTGATTGTGGGTCTGGGAATCCTGTCTGATTGGGGTACAAATAAGTGGTTCTCACACCGGGTTTGTCCCCCCCACAAGCAGGACGGGGGTGCAGGATAGGATAGCGGAGGCTGCCATCAGCCAGCCAGCCAGCACGGCAGTTGTCTAGACCCAGTTTCCAGGCAGCATAGAGTTGTCCAGTGGAAGCCAGAGTAGCATTCTGGCTCTCACAGTGTTCTTGTGCTTCCAGGAAGGTGAATTGTTCCGGTTGGGTTGCAAAAAAGACCTCACCTAAAGATAAAGAAATTAAGACTGAGTTCTCGGCTCAGACACTGCTCATTTGACAGGGACAGATCTGGCATGAAAACAATAATGTAAAGAGTTTCTCACAAGGACCATAGAAAAACTTACCATTTAGTTTGTCGACATAGCAGTATACATCATACATCTCTGAGGCTGGGCGCATGCCATATGTCCGCACCCCTGGGATATCATCCTTGTCTCCTTCACATTTGCTCCGTGGAAAGACAATGGGGTATCTGACAATAAGGACAACAAGGGTCACCCTTCACATTCCAGTGTAATAAGCTTCAACAGCGACGATCTCCTATTCAGCATAACTATTAAAAAGCAAAGCAGCCACACCCTCCTTTGCACCTGGTCTATGTCCTTTTTTTTTTTTGCATAAAGAAAAATAAACTCTAAACAGCAACAAGTCAATGGTGGTGAGTGCATTGGTGCAATCTCCCTTAGGTCATAAAGATGTAACTCACTTGTAGGTCCCAATCTACCAGTCAAAGACCAGTGGTAGTGGTGAAAAGTGCTGTCAAATTACAGCCGACTTATGGAGACCCTGTGGAGTTTTCATGGCAAGAGGTGTTCAGAGATGGTTTCCCACTGCCTGCCTCTGCATAGCAGCCTTGGAATTCCTTGGTGGTCTCCCATCCAACCAGTGACGAGGGTTGACCCTGCTTAGCTTCTGAGAGCTGATGAGATCCAGCTAGCATGGGCCATCCAGATTAGGGTTGAAGACCAGTAGGGTAGATGACTTTTGTTAGAACTCCTTCCTAGAACACCTTCAGAAGTGATCTCATGCTTTCTTCAAATCCCTCTTTAAAACCCTTCCCCCAGCATTTCAGGAATGTGACCTCTTTCCCCTCAAAGTCTTTGATTTAACTAGGGAATGTTGGTGTGGTGTAGTACTTAGATCCATATTTGAATCCCAGCTCTGACATGGAAGCTTTCTGGGTGACCTGAGGCCAGTCACACAGCTTAACCTACCTCACGGGGTTGTTGTGAAAATAAAATGGACAAGAATCATAGAGTTGGAAGGGACCTCCCAGCTCATCTAGTCCAACCCCCTGGACAATGCAGGAAATTCACAAATACCTCCCCCTCCACACCCCCAGTGACCCCTGTTCCACACCCAGAAGATGACAAAAAAACCTCCAGGACCCCTGGCCAAACTGGCCTGGAGAACAATTGTTTCCTGACCCCAAAGTGGCAATCAGCATTTCCCTGGGCATGTAAGAAAGAACTAAGCACTGAGGCAACCAATGTTCCCTCTAAGCTATGGAGCCCTGTGAGCAAAAATTCTACTTTGTGAGCTACTAGCATTAAAATTGTGAGCAAGCAATTTGGCTGCTGCATAAATTAGTTGACTCTGGAGCCATCCTTCCTGAGCCAAGACAAAAATGTGTGAGCCAGAGGCTAAAAAACCATGAGCTAGCTCACACTAACTCAGCTTAGACGGAACACTGGAGGCAACCCTTCCTGCCCTCCCTTTCATGATCTGCCTAAGTTCATACAATCAGCATTGCTATCAGAGGGCCATCTAGCCTCTGTTTGAAAACCTCTAAAGAAGGAGAGCGCCCCCCCCCCCAATGTTTAGCTGAAAACTCTTCTGATTTAATTTCAACCGTTGGTTCTGGTCCGACGTTCTGGGGCAACAGAAAACAACTCCTCACCATCCTCTAGATCAGGTATGTCCAACAAGCAGATCACGATCTACCAGTAGATCGTGGAGGGGTCAAAGGTAGATCACCAGCCCCACTTGGTCTCCTGGTTTGCTGGACAGGTGTTTGGTTGTGTGTTTTTTTTGATGATTGGTGGTAATAAAAGTTATTGAGACAGTTAAAGAAAGTTATAACTCAATAAACAATAAAAAATGTTCACAGTTCTTTCTGGATCTTCGTCTCTCTGTTTTGTTTTTGCTTATTTTGCTTACCAGAAGGTGCATTATAAATGGGGGGCGGGGCGGTGGAACCCAACTTTAGTGGGTTAAAATCTAATTTGAGACTTTATTTTCATGGTGGTAGATCACTACCTGTTCAAAGTTGGACATGCCTGCTCTAGATGGTGATCATATCACCTCTCAGTCGTCTCCTCTCCAGGCTAAACATACCCAGCTACATCCTCTGGACACGTTCCAGCTTGTCTATATCCTTCTTAAATTGTGGTCCCCAAAACTGAACACAATACTCTATGTGAGGTCTAACCAGAGCAAAGTGGTACCATCACTTCACATGATCTGGACACTATAAGACAAAAATGTGTGAGCTGCAGGCTAAAAAACTGAGAGCTAGCTCACACTAACTCAGCTTAGAGGGAACACTGATCAGTAGTTGTCCAGATCCTCCTTTTGCTCCTTCTTGAAGATGGGGACAACATTTGCCTGCCTCTAATCTTCTGGCACCTCACCTGTTCTCCAAGAATTCTCAAAAATAATGGACGGAGGCTCAGAAATTCCATCTGCGAGTTCTTTTAGTACCCTTGGATGCAGCTCATCTGGCCCTCTTTTGGACACATTTCAACTTGTCTATATCTTTCTTAAATTGTGGTGCCCAAAACTTAAAATCTAAGCCACTCTGGGGCCCCACTGGGCAGAAATACAGGGAATAAACAAAGTAAATAATAAAATAAATAAATAGTGATGTACAAATATTCCACTTTTGTTTCTTTTTATGCATATTTGCTGTGAACATTTTGTTCCCCATTTCCTTTGCTAATTTCTCAATATCTTTCATTTATTTCATGTCATTTATTCATTTATTTCACGCCAATGTTACACCCTTTATATGCAAAAACAGGTGTCAATTTAAATATCAATTCTGACAATCAAACGCTGTAATCTTGATCAGGAAAAAGATTCCCATAATTGTGTCCTGAGTCCCAAGAAACTGTGGCCTGTAGGCTGAAGGCTGATGATCAAACCACACTTGGATAGGAGACCTCCTCTGAATGCCCTACCTTCAGCTGTGACGGCAGGAAGATCTGATGGGATTTTACACTCAGATAGACTCTGTTATTGTGGCAGCAATAAAATTGACTCTGTGGATCATATTCTGCTTGATTGCCCCAAATTTTCAGCTCTAAGAGGTGGAAATGATCTCCCCTTTATTTAATCAGGACTTCCTCTCTCCAGAAGCAAAATCACCCTGGCTGCTTAGAGATTAAGGCAACCGAACTACCCTGTGTGTAGCAAAATTTCTAGCAGCTGTTGTCAAATCATATGACTTTTTTTGTAGTTGCAATCTTTTAGGTTCTTCTATGGCCCCGTTCATACGAGGCAGTTTGGGCCAGGAGCGGGCCGGATTGGAGGCGCATCAGACGGGCGCAATCCCACGGCAACATCTGCCTGGCGTCGCGCTCCCGCCTTCAACCCAGCCCTTCCCCCGATGAAGCGCGTCAAAGATGAACCACCTACTTCGGTGGTTCATCCGGTTGAGGCGCTTCATCCTGGCCGTGGGATCAGCGGCACATCTTGCCGCCGTCGCATCCCCGGCCCCCTGCCGTACTGCGCATGCTCGAGCATGCGCAGTACGGCAGCCTCCCCCTCCAACTAGTGTCTTCCTCCCCAGCATCTGATCGTGCCGGGGAGCAACGGAGCGCAGCAACCGGGATGCGTGGGATCCCGCCAGGGCGTTTCTTTTTTGGCGCAGCTATTAAAAGCCACGCTTCGCCCCGTCTTTTCCCTGCCGTGTGGCAGGGGCCTATGTTTCCCTATGGGGCAAGGTTTATGGTGGGAGGAGGGTTTGCTGTTTATGACTCTGGTTGCAGAAACAGTAAGAAGTAATAAATAAATAAATAAGATAGGAGACCTCCTGGAACTCCTTGTCAGCAATCTGGAGTTCCATGATGGAAGAACAGTGAACTGTAAATGCATGTAAAGCTTCCTTCTACCAAATAATTGGCTCAGTATTTTGACTACCAGTTGCTCTCCATGGTTTCAGGTGGAGAAAGATCTTTTCTACATCTTCTGCCTGAGATCCTTCACCTGGAGGGCTCTCTCTTTGTGGCTGGGAACCTTGAAAACAAAAGAGTTCCTTGTCCCATAAAGAGAGCCCAACATGTGTACGTTTGTATGTACATAAATTCTAAGCAGAACATTCATAGGTTTGGGGTGTTGCTGTGATCCTATTCTTCTCAGAGATACAGCCACAACATGCTTACAATGTCAGATGCAGCCTGATTGAGGTTGTTGAAATGTTCTCATTTAGATATGCCTCCCCCGCCCCAGCTGAGTCACTGTGTTACTGTACCTGACCGTCTGGTCCCTCAGCCAGCCAGCATCACACTGATCGTAACCATCCTCATGGGCAGCCTGCAGTTGTTCAGGAGTGGCAATAACAGCGTTATTATCCAGGCAAGCTTGCTGGGCTTTGACAAAGGTTAGGGAATATCTGTCAGTGGATGGTCGGTAATGAAAGACAGTGCCTGTCAAATGAAGAATGGAAAGAGCATTTGAGCATGAATCCACCCATACTTGGAGTGAGTTTTCACTAGCGCTGTGCTGAATCTATATATCTAATAGCCAAGTTGCCCCCTCCGTGCGGAGCCTCACCGCCGCTGCCGTCTCCTTCCCGGAGCCGGCAGGCAGGCCGGGCGGGCGGGGGAAGCCGGGCCTCACCTCCACCGCGTCCTCCTCCCCGGAGCCGGCAGGCAGGGGGGGTTTGACACCGGCCTCGCCGCCGCCGCGGGGAGATGGGGGGGATGGAGGAGACGGAGCTCACCCATACTTGGAGTGAGTTTTCACTAGCGCTGTGCCGAATACTCTCTAATTTCAAGCGTTTCTGACACCACCCAGCAAACCACACCCCAAACTGCTTATCGCATCAGCCATTCACACAGCCCCTACTGGCATTGCCCATGCTGCCACTCAATCCAGTTGGCTGCAGCAACCTCTGTGATTTTGGCATCATGACATTGTCAACAAAATAACATCCTGCACTCCAGCAGAAAAGGATTGAGGGGCTGTGTGAGTAAAAGAAGCTGAGGGTTTGTGACAACAAACCAGAAGAATGAAAATGGGGCTGAGAAGAATACCACATGAATATGTTCACAACAAGCACCCAAAAGTGGGAGGAGCTTGTTGATTCTCAGTAAAACAAACATGAAACAAAGTACACTGTTTTGGTTTCATGCTCCATTTAACACGGGGCCAATTGTAGTCATCACTGGGTTGCTGTAGCAACCGAATGTTATAATTGGGGATGCGTATTGAAGCTTGGCCATTTACCTGTGGACAACATGGGCTGCCTGGGGATGTGTCCAATGTCAGGAGCAGCTGTCCCTGGCGCAATCTGATCCTCTACTGTAAACGGAGAGGCGGACTCCAGTGCTGGTGTTGCAGTAGCCCACAGGGTCTCTTCCACCGAGCTCACCTCTGGAGTATCAGTGGTGAAAAGAGTGTCTGGCATTGAGACGGTGGCATTTTCTAGACTCTCCCAAATTCCCACCTCAGTCCTGTTCTCTGCCTCATCAATGAAGTCAGTAGCAAAGAGATCCGGAGTTGCCGTGAAGCCTTCATCTAGCTCCGAGGCAGTGGCTGTAAAGTCTATTGGCTCCAATGTTGCAATGCTGCCCCGGGCTTCCTCCTCTGTGACATTGCGTGGGAAGTACAGCTCCACGTCTGTCTGGGTGACTGTCTGGATGGTGAAGCCACTGCCCAGTTCACCAATTTTCTCATCAGTGAGGTTCTCGTGGATGATTGTGTCAAAGTCATCACCTGGGACAAGGAGGAAATGTTATGGAAGTGACATCAGAGAAGCCAGAGGGAGAAGAGACAACCGCCAGGCCCTTCTCCATCATGCCATGACTCAGGTCCAGCAGAGGAACCTTCCTCCTCCTTGCTACCATCAGTGAGTCCAGAGTCGGCCATAAATGAGTCCAGAGGGGAAAAGAAGCACCAGCCAGGCATCCTTCTATAATTGCAGGAGCAAAGCTTGGTGGAGGGTCCCCTCGGCTGCAGAGCACATTGATTGGCGCTATGAGCTTTTGCTCATGCAAATCTGGCATCTTTCAGTGATCCAAAAAGCTCCCAGTGTCACAAGAAAGTGCCAAAGGAGTAGAGGACTGCCTCTGCTGCAGACACCGAAGGGTGCAAATGGAAGCAAGGAGTACATGCATACCTACCCTGCCTCTTTCCTACCCATGTATACCCAGGCTGCATCCTCCCTGCATCACTGGGCATCAAGCAGTGATTGTGCTACAGCACTTGTTCGCAATCAGGAAAACCCACTTGTGAATGATTGCTATAGCATAATGGTAGTTTGGATGCAGGCATAGGGGTCCCAGCCAGGCACTGGCCAGAATGCTTCTCAGCCTGTGACTTCTGAATTTAGAACAGGCAAGACCAGCAGGGATGGGGAAATCACCTTGTCCTAACAAGTGACATTTCTTCATGGGGAAGGAAAATAATTCCTAGCACATTTTCATCATTTGAATTCCACTCACAAAGGCTTCAATACATCAAGTTATAGTCAGTGATATATTTAATGTGTTTTAGAAGATAGATTGAACCTGGCTAGTAAATTACCAAGTGCATTTTAATCCTGTCTTTCCACCAAGGAGCTCAGGGTGTCATATATTGTTCTTCCTTCCCTAATTTTACCCTCACAACAACCCTGTGAAGTAGGTGAGTCTGAGAGAATGATCGTCCCAAGGTCACTCAGCAAATTTCATGGCAAATTATTTAACATTACTGACTTTGTTAAAAAATCTGCAAGTCTTTAGATCTATAGTGTGATACCATGCATATTTGCTCAGATGGATACCAGATATGTGTGCATTGGATCACAGCCCTAGTTATTTTTCTGCAATAACAACAAAAATAGCAACAAAACAACAACAGCAACAACAATAATAAAAGTAATAACATTTTATAGTGCACTTCAGAGTGCTCAAATTGAATTAAAATTGTAAGGCACAAAATTCAGCACTATTTACATTTGATTCAATCCAAATATGGGGATTGCATGTATTCTGGCTTCCACATACCTATCCCTGACTGGATGGGAAACTGCCTGTGTGAACAGGCCTTGTGTGTGCGTTTCATTCTGCTATAATATGTGGGGTTGCACTAATGGGGACCTTTTAATTTTGCAAGAATTCCAACAAGCAGCTCTTTAATTTTCCCACTCCATCTTCCCCAACGCTGCCAAGCAGGTGAGCAGCAGGATTTTAAGCAATCTGAAAAGGTTCCATGCATTTGCCATCCACCTTTTTGGATCAGAACCATTGAGCTGTGCTTTGGGAATATACACAGCAGTTCAGTGTGGGAATATACACAGCAGAGTTTAAGATATCTTTAGTTGTAACCACCAATCTCTTTAGTGTGTGTGTGTAAAGTGCTGTCAAGTTACACTCAATTTATGTCAACCCCAGCAAGGGGCTTTCAAAGCAAATGAGAAGTAGAGGCGGTTTGCCATGGCCTTCCTCTCTTTAGTGGCCTTATTAGAACCATTGAAACTGGCCCAGGAAAAGTGAGTTTTCTGATACTAAAGCTGCCAAAATACACTGAAATGACGGTGACCTCATGCGCCTTTCAGTGAACTCACCAGTGTAGCAGATGGCATCATAGCGAGAATGGGGGTGAGGATACCCTGTCTGATTATCGTAGAGGTACACAGTTCGTACTCCCACCAGGTTGCCACCACAGTTGGGACGTGCCTTGGAGATGGGGTACCGAACACTGCGGTCTGCCAGCCAGCCAGCACTGCAAACATCCATGCCATCTTTCCAGGCCAGGTACAGTTCTCCTGTAGTTGCCAAACGGGCACCAAGTCTGTGACATTTCTCTGCTGCTTCTGGGAAAGTGAACTTTTCTGGGGAGGTGGCATAGAAGACTTTACCTGTCATCACACAACAGTAATGCTGATGGTTAGATGTAAGGTTGCATTTCTTGCTTCTTTATCAGCTTTCCCTTTCCAATCCCTTTCCTTAGGGCCAGACTAGAGTGAAACCAGGATTCTATAACTGGCACTCCTAGTCCAAAATTCAGGTTGGGAAGAGCCTTGGTCAGGGTCACAGCATGGAAAGAGGGGGTTAACTCTTTCTCCCTGCCTGCATATTTCCCCAATCAAGTCAAGTCAAGTCAGCCTTTATTGGCATAAAATATCAGTACCATTTATACATTTTGAAACATATTTCCCCAATCAATAACAACCCTGAACTTGTCTGCTTTAAGTTTCAGTAAGAAAAAAGACATGCACAAATCCAGCACTTGTGTTTTTTCCCCTTTAGTCAGGCTTGATGCAGCACAGCCATTTCCAGTCAGGGAGTTAACTTCCAGACTGAGAGACCTCATCCAGATCACCCTCAAAATGGTGGCTTTTTAAGGGCAAATTGCATATCTGGTGTTCCAGTCACAAAACTCCTGTATCATGTGATGTCTGGCCCATTTTAAAAATTGTTGGGAGCTGCCTCAAGATCGATATGCTAAGAGACTGGACATCAGTATTTACAATAAAACTCTGAGGCAAGGGGGAAACTCCTTTAAAAGGGAGAACGAGCTCCAGCTCCTGTGCCCAAGCTCTCCATGGGATCCTTTGGATTGTGACTTTACCTTCTTTAGAATATGGAGTTAGAGAGACACTGTTACCTTCCATTTCCTCTGCATAACAATACACATCATACATCTCGTCTGTTTCACGAATGCCATATGTTCTCACACCAGGAAATTCATCCTTGTCTCCATAGCAACCTTCTCGGGGATGGTGCATTGGATACCTGAGAGTACAAAGGCAGGACAGGTTCAACGAGGAATAAATATGTTAGCTGGAAGCAATTATTCCTCCTGTATGGTTCTAGGGTGCAGGCAGCATCCTGAAGAACAAGGCAGAACATGTGGACCTATGAAAAACTTGGAGTGACAGATCTGAATATGTATTGGAATTTGGAATACGCCAAGCATAGAGGCACTCTGTTGCCTAGGATTGCCAGACCCCCCCCAGGTCCTGCCCCCCCAGCCACCTGGGGGGGGGGGGGGGGGGGGGGGGGACTTACCGGTAGAAAGCCTAGGTCATGTTGCCAGCATCTCACTGGATGTGACATCATCATGTCATTGACTTCTGGTTGATGCTCTGATATTTTGGCAAAAACTCTATGGTAGTAGAAGAGATTGGATTTATACCCCACCCTTAACTCAGAGTCTCAGAGTGGCTTACAAACTCCTTTCCCTTCCCCTCCCCACAACAGACACCCTGTGAGGTTGGTGGGGTTGAGAGAGCGCTGAGAGAACTGCCCTTGAGAGAACAGCTCTGAGAGAACTTGTAACTGACCCAAGGCCACACCAGCAGCTGCAAGTGGAGGCGTGGGGAATCAAACCCGGTTCTCCCAGAAGTCTGCACACTTAACCACTACACCAAACTGGTTTTACCATAGAGTTTTTGCCCAAACACCAGAGCATCGACCAGAAGTTGCTGGCATGATGATGTTCTATGAATCCTACTGTAGCCTGAATCTTTATCCTCAACAGGGCTCATAGCAGGTCTTCAGGGCCTTTCTGTGTTCAGAAAATGGCACATGGAAAGGGTTAAACTTCCTTCACCCATGCCAGAGTCCTGATCCACATAAGGGGGCCTGCAAATCTGAAATTTAGAAAAAAGTGCTTGCGAACTCTGATTAAGACCCCTAAATTTCTCAAACAAGCAATAAGGTTGACAATATTGGTGCTGGATCCGCTTGAAAACTCCCAATGAGACAGCTGGATGCATGAGTTGGTGTGCAATTAAGTCAATTGCTAATAATAATGAACCAATAATTACACTGCCTATAGAGATCAATGGTTTTGAATGGGGAGCACAATGCACAGTTAAGCCACCTGCTAATAACACATGCAACTATACTGCTCATAGACTGGGTATCTGGTGTGCATTTAAGATAGCTACAAAAATAATTAATATGCCCATTGCATATTACGTGTGCAGAGTAATTGTCTTGAATATGCTAAAAACATCCATGTTAATAAATGCTGCAGATTTTAACATGTTCCAAGTTTTTGGCCTCTGATTTTTTTCCTAGTTCTTTGTTTATTGTACAATCTGACTTTCCTCCAAGGCCAGTTTCACCCTGTAGTTCTTACACATCACCATCTTCCAGCTGTTTACCTGACAGTCTGATCTGCCAACCAGCCAGCGTCACACTGGTCAAAGCCATCCTCATAGGCAGCCTGCAGCTGCTCAGGGGTTGCAATGACAGCACTGTTCTGGATGCACGCTTCTTTGGCCTTCTCAAAGTCCAACGTGTATCGGGTAGAGATGGCTCTGTAATGGAATACGATGCCTGGAAAACACATCCACCAACATACACATCTGTCAGTGGCCGTTATGAACTAAACCGGCAGGTGTTAAATAAAAGCAAGCTGGAGTACACACTGGGCCATTCTCTGCAATCAAATTATCGCTTCTCCAGAATTTGCAACCCACAGAGTTACCAAGGAGGATCAACATATCACTGGGAACGGTGCTTTTGAAATCATTTTCTTGAAATCTCCTTCCCGCTTATCATCAGCCAAAATATACCTCTGAATTTTTTTGTCAGGTTGTGCTGATTAGAGGTAATATGTCATGATACCAGGAATGTTGGCTAATAGAGATGTAAAATTTCTGGGAATGCTATGGAATTTTTTTTTTTGGGGGGGAAGGGAATGGACGTTTGATGGAAATTGAAATATATGCAGTAATTGGTTGCTTACCAACTTTAAATTTATTTTGCTGCTTTAACAGCACAAAGATGCGTAATTTATAACTTAGCAAATAAAACTGTACTATTTGGCATGATTATGAAATTTGGAAGTTTAACAGTTACAGAGTTATGCCCTTTTAAGTCCAACAGCTTAAATGAGCTTAAAAGGGTATAGCTAGGCTGAGGATTGTATTGTAAATGCTTTAGTTTTCTATAAGCAAAGCTGTGAATTAGGGATGCTAACCCCCAGGTGGGACCTGGGGATACCCTGGAATTATAGCTCATCTCCAGACTACAGAGATCAGTTGCCCTGGAGAAAATTTATGTCTTGGAGTGTGGACTCCACAGCATTGTATCCAGCCAAGGTCCCTGTCCTCTCCAGGCTCCATCCCCACATCTCCAGGAGTTTACCAGCCTGGATCTGGCAACCCTACCCCCCCATCCCCTGCCGGTGCCCAGAGGGGACCTGGTAACTCTACTATGAATATACTCAATATGAGAGAGAGAGAGAGAGAGAGAGAGAGAGAGAGAATTGCAAGCTGCTGCATTTTGTGCTAGCTTAGCATGGCCAATGTTTTGCCATTTGAGAGGTACGAACAAATAAAAGCTGAAAATAAAAAAAATCTTTTGTAGTTAGCAAAACAAAGTATATTATTTGGACTGAAACAGTCTTATAAAGTTACAAAATGACTAGCAGCATATTTCAATATCAAGTTAAACTTTACAATTTCCAGAACGCCAAACTCTTCAATAGTGTATTATCAAACACATTATAATATATTAATTGTTGCCAAAATCATTCACATTTAAACAATAAACCCAGTATCAGGTGGTTAGCTGTGTTAGTCGGCAGTAGTAGAACAAAATTTAAATGCAGTAGCACCCTAGGGTCCCACAACAAGTCAAACCTTACTTCATAAGTTATTGACTCACAAAAATGTATACCCTGGAAAATGTTGGTCTTACACGTGCTAACTTGAATTTTTTTCTATAAACAATAAAAATAATTATGAAAACACACTGTATATGTTTATAGTATACATAGGAATCATTATCTAATATCTTCTAGAGAAAATTATTCCAAAAATTATAGGATTTTTTTCAGAGCTCCCCCAAATGTCCCCCCTCCAGAATTTTCTGCTTAAGGAGGGGGGGGATTTGTAATGATTCCTTGTTTTAAGTGTGTGTGTGTGTGCCTTTAAGTGTTTGGTTGAGGTACAGTGATAGTAGACTAGATTGATTGAGAGAGAAAAGTGTGCTGTGATTGGTGGATGACAGAATGTGGGCGGGGTTTTTGAGGTGAATCTGTGTGGGTGTGCCAGTCAGTTATGAAAGTCAGTTAGAAAAAGCAGTTGGGGTCAGTGAGGGTTAATATAGTTCTGTGTGAGATCTCTAAGAGGGGAGTATATATGTTCTTAGCCTGAGTGGCTGACTCCAAAGAAAAGAGTGAATCCTGTTAATGTTGGAACTGAATGTCAAACAAACAAAAGCAAAGGGAAAAAAGGCAGTGTGTGTGATACATTTGAACAACATATTTACAAGTCCCTTTATCCTAAACAGTTACAGAATAATCAATCTCATATTTTGTTCTTAGTTCAATAAATCATCTTTTGTTTAAGTTATCCCAGAATTTTATTAAGTCAGAATTGAATTCAATTCTCCCTCAGGACCACATAGATCCCTGAAAAGCCTAGACCCTGGGTTACTTTACCAGAAAGAAGAACAGACAGAAGGTTTGGAAATCCTTACATTCCTGGTGGCAGCCGAATCTACCCAGTTTAATAAAGCAAAGAGCACATTTAAAGGGAAAACCAGTCCTTCCTAATAGGAGGTTGCCACAGTCCCCCCTCCGGATTTTTCTGGGTTTTTCCCCTCACCAGGCCATCTCATTTTTAGCTAATGGTAGAAAGAGAAGTGATTAAATCCTCATTTTGTTAGACTTATATCGTGCCTTCACCACATTGTAGGCTCAGTATAATATATAGTATATATATTAGTATAATTGCACCAATTAAAAATAAAAATAGCAACTGTGGCAAGCAGTTCAGAAGTTAACAACCAGAATTACACCTTCCAACACATGCCAAACCACACATCATTCTGTGAACATGATGCAAAGACTACCCCATACCACACAGATCAAACATATTAGCTTATTGGGGGGAAGGGGGAAGCAACAGAATTTGTGCTACATTTCTCTAGTGTGGAAATTATCCTCATTTTGGATTTTTGGGGGATCTCAACCACTGATGCTGCTGAGGATCTGGTACTACTTGTGTGCTTGCTTCTGTCTACCCACAATATTGCAGTCTAACAAGAAAACAGCAGAGCAATTCTTTTCCAGGGAATGATCTTGAGAGAAATGATTGGAACATCCCACAGGACAAGAAGAGCACGCCATAACATTGCCCTACATGTTTCTTGTTCCAAATGAACTAGTAATTATACCAAAGACACGGAACATTTCTGCCGATGGAAGGGGGAATAGGGGGATGCACCAGGAGCAGCCTGAGGAGAGCATTGGAGGCCCTCAGCAGGAGAGGGAAAATCAGCAAAAAATGACCCCCTTTCTGTTCATAGAAAACCTTCATGTGATCCAACCCCCAGGCAACACTGTTCTTTAATGGTTTCCCACTCTTCTGTGCTTGCCGAATGTAAAATATATGGTCCTCAGAACTCAGTTCAAATGATCAGCTCTACCAGAGGAGGGAAACGTAGCCTGTGCTTGCCGAATGTAAAATATATGGTCATCAGAACTTACCTTTCACCTTCACCTCTACTGTATCTTGGCTGTCCTCGATGCCATGAATCACCTCACACCGATAGGTCCCGGTATCATTGGATCGAAGAGCCTTGATTTCTAGGGTGGCATCAGTAGGAATGGCAGGGTAGTTGGGCAGAGAAACCACCTCCTGGTATGCGGTGTTGATTCTCACATGCCCATCTATGGCCACCAACAAGACAACTTCCCGTCCTTCTGAGAGCCTGCTCCATTTGATTCTCGGGGACAGGGGGGCAGTAGAAGGTGATGTGGTAACATGCTCCAGTGTGTCAATGTAGTAACAGGGGATGGTCAGAGTGTGCCCCAGGGGGACACGCAAGGGGGAATGTAAAGGTATGCTCACACTCAGTGTGGTGGCCCCATGATCTGCAGGTTACAAAATGGTGAAAAGGAGAGAAACAAAATTCAGAACCATAGATTAGTTACTGTTTCAGAAGAGTTGCGTCAGTCTGCAGGTGGCAGATTCCTTCGATGAAAGTTCTTTAGCATAAAAGTCCTTGCAAGTGGTAAGGTAGCACAGCAAGGGCAAAGATTCTGTCCCCTCTTTGTTTTTGTTGTGCTGGTATTCTGTTTGCAAGGAGCATTACGCAATATGATCCTCTATGACCCCACCCCCTGGTCTGTAGTGGTGTAATCCATTTTGCCATCGCAACACTCTGCTGATTCATGCTGCTGTATGCGTGAACTAGGCTTCATATGACAGAGAGGGCAAAGGGGCTCCTATCATACCACTAGACAGTACTCTGTCTTCATAGAATCAGAGAGTTGGAAGGTACCTCCAGGGTTGTCTAGTCAACTACCTGCACAATGCAATGCAGGAAATTCACAAATACCTCCCCCCACACCCCCAGTGACCCCTGTTCTATGCCCAGAAGATGACAAAAAAACCTCCAGGATCCCCGGCCAAACTGGCCTGGAGAAAGTTGCTTCCTGACCCCAAAGTAGTGATCAGCATTTCCCTGGGCATGTGTCAAACTTGGCCCTTGTTTGTCATGTGTTTGGTAACTGTCTCTGGTATCTGTGGCTCACTGCTCTGTTTCATTCTAGCTGGGAATTGGTGTGTGTGTGGGGGGCGTGCGTGGAGCTGCTTTGCTAGAGTTGTGCTGCCTTGTAACTGCATCCATGCGGGGCCTCCTCATTGTGGGAAGTATGCATGCTTGACCTTGAGTACCAGACACTGCTAAATAATGTAACCGTAAGCTTGCAGGTGCTGGGGGAGGGGTAGTAAAGCAGCATAGATTTTGGTGAGCTGGATGTATGGGTGTGATTGGACTGGTCACTGGGGGGCGGTGTTTGAATGACAAAAACTGGTGCCAAGGGAGCCAGTTTCGACACAGATTTGTCTATGCTTGAAATCTCTGTATCTCTCAGTAAACAGATCACTGCCAAGAGAGTGTTGTTGGGAGAGAGTTTCTTCAAGACCTGGCAGCATGTAAGAAAGGGCCACAAGAACTAAGCATTGATGCAACCCTCCCTGCCCTCCCTCTCATGATTCCTAAGTTCACACAATCAGCATTGTTGTCAGATGGCCATCGAGCCTCTGCTTAAAAACCTCCAAAGAAGGTGAGCCCACCACCTCCCAAGGAAGCCTGTTCCACTGAGGAACCACTCTAACTGTCAGGAAGTTCTTCCTAATGTCTAGCTGAAAACTCTTTTGATTTAATTTCAACCCCTCAGTTCTGGTCCGACCTTCTGGGGCAACAGAAAACAATTCTGCACCATCCTCTATATGACAGCCCTTCAAGTACTTGAAGATGGTTATCATATCATCTCTCAATCATCTCTTCTCCAGGCTAAACATAACCAGCTCCTTCAACCTTTCCTCATAGGACTCGGTCTCCAAACCCCTCACCATATTTGTTGCCCTCCTCTGGACACGTTCCAGCTTGTCTATATCCTTCTTACACTGCAGTGCCCCAAACTGAACATAATACTTTAGTTAAGGTCTAACCAGAGCAAAGTGAATGACAAAGTGAATTACATCACTGAACATGATCTGGACACTATACTTCTGTAACTGATACAGCCCAAAATCACATTTGCCTTTTTAGCTACCGCATCACACTGCTGACTCATGTTCAGTGTATGGTTTATTAAGAAGAAGAAGAAGAAGAGATTGGATTTATACCCCGCCCTTCACTACTCAAAGGTGTCTCAGAGCGGCTTACAAACTCCTTTCCCTTCCCCTCCCCACAACAGACACCCTGTGAGGTAGGCGGGGCTCAGAGAGCTCTTGACAGAAACTGCTCTTTTTCAAGAACAGCTCTTATCAGAGCTACGGCTTGCCCAAGGCCATCCGGGCAGGTGCAAGTAGAGGACTGGGGAATCAAACCCAGTTCTCCCAGATTAGAGTTCGCGCACTTAACCACTACACCAAAAAGGACCTCTAGATCCTTTTCACACACACTACTGTCAAGACAAGTCTCCCCCATCCTATAGTTATGCATTTATCCCCATTAAAATTCATTTTGGCCCTGGTCGCACAGGCCAGATAACGCGGGGGTGAGGCGTGACTGTTTGCCCCGGAGCAAAGTAAAGCGTGGCAGCCCGATCACATGTCCCATGGAGTTCCCGTGGTACGCCATTAGGTGCCAATCACACAGCTATCCTGAAGTGCGGCAAAGAAGTGGTGTGGCGCGATCACACTGGCAATCGCTAGGCGCCGCTTCCGTGGCAAATGGGATTTTTTTCTCATTGACGTTTGCGCACGCGCATGATCGAGCAAGTGCATCCTGTGGAGACTTAAAAAAAACCCCATCCAGTTTGTGATGGGACATGGACAGGCGCCAGATGCCACAGGAATCGAGTGGAAATGTGATCAGATGCCCGCCCTTGGCCCGCGTTTTCAGGAAACTAGTATATTGTATGCGGTAGTTTTTTACTGCGCATCTTCGGCGGGAAGCCACAGGTTAGCCACGGGTGAACTACGCTTCCCAGATGTTGCGATGTGATCGTGCACCGAAAATCCGCCTATCATCCGTGTCTTTAGCGTGGCAACTTCTCCGTGTGAACGGGACCTTTATTTGTTTTAGCCCAGTTCTCCAGTCTGTCAAGAAGATCCTGTATCCTGACTCTGTCTTCTCTCATATTTGCTACCCCTCCCAATTTAGTATCATCTGCAAATTTAATAAGCATTCCCTCTATTCCTTCATCCAAAACATTTATAAAGATGCTGAACAAAACAGGTCCACTTAGAGCGCAGCAGGTAATGCATCTTATGTCAAATCTGTAGGCTCTTGAAACGAAGCAAACCAGATTCTCATCGCATTGACCCTTTTATACATAAAGTTGTACATGCATTTAAGGAAGGCCCTGGAAATTACCTACCTAAAACTTCCACAGAGATGGCTGCAGTGATGACTCGCAAACTCACAAATACAAGTAGCAAAGTGGTCATAGTTTACCTGTAATGACACATAAAGATACAGGATTGTTAGTGAATCTTTAGGGGATGACAGCCTAGAAACAGAACTTCTCCAGCAATGAGAACCATTAGGAAGGGTAGCATTGCCAACTTTTTTTAAAGTTGGGACTCCTATACAGCTTTTAATCTCAATTCTCCTCTGTTGAAGTACCCTCTCTTTGGATCTCCCTGTCCTGGGAAGCTGGCCTGGCCACTTCCTGACCTTTTGAAGACTACCAGCAGCCTCATCTCCCTTATAAATAAAAGCCGAATGGTAGTGGCACTTCTCTAGAACATTCCACATGCTCCAAAATCAGTTTGCTCTCTGATCTGTCTATCAGAAGGTCTCCCTATTCACTGGCTGCTTTGCCTGAGTCCTGCCTCCAACATTCTAAACATTTTGCAATTCCTCCCCCCCACCATAGCCAGTCAGAACACAGAGGTTATTTGCATATGCAGCCTCATTGGCCTCTACCTCGGAACACAGAGGTCGTTTGCATATGCGACTTGATTGGCTTTTGCCTCTAACATTCTAACCAGTTTTCCTCTTCTGAGGTAAAATGTGTCCAATCTCCAGGTGAGGCCTGGAGATCACTCAGAATTACAACTGCTTTCCAGACGGCAGAGATCAGTTCCCCTGGAGAAAATGGTGGTCTCTGTATCCTTATATGCTGCTGAGGTGGCCCCCGTATGACAGCCAATGTGACGTAGCAGTCAGGGCTTCAGAGCACGGGAGAGGCTGCAGGTGTGTGGGGGGTGGAAAGCTGAAGAATGAGGGGGAAATAAAGGTAGGTTGATGATTGGCTGGGAAGGAGATAGGGTTGCCAACTCCAGGTGGGAAATTCCTGGAGATGTGAGGGATGGAACCTGGAGAGGGTGAGGTTTCAGGAGGCGTGGGACCTCGGACAGGTACAAAGCCATAGACTCCACCCTCCAAACCAACCATTCCCTTCTGGGGAACCATTGTTGCCAATCTCCAGGTGAGGGCTGGAGATCACTCAAAATTACAACTGTTCTTTAGGCAGCAGAGATCAGTTCCTCTGGAGAAAATGGTGGACTCAGTGTCATTATACCCTGTTGAGGTCGCCACAACAAATTGACACTGAGTATTTATTTCCACAACGGGCCTTTTTTCCTAGTAGTTTATAAAAGCTGCATGCATCACTGATCACCCTTTTTCCTGCTAATGTAAAAACAATGATATTAGCCAAAGGGAGGATGTAAGGATGCCCTAAGATTATCTAATGCTATTTCAAATTTCAAACAGAATGATTGCCCACTGTCACGGGACACAATAGAGAAATTATATAGAATTTGGTTATGCTTCCTGTGTTAATCATGGAAAACTCCACCAATCAGACATCAGATGTTTGAGAAACATTGATTTATCGGCAAAGCCCTTCAGGGTAGCTAAAAGCAGGGAGTTCTCTCTACCAACAATGCTTTAAAAACCTGGCAAAAGTAATAGAAGGAGCTTTGTTTTGCCAGTGGCAACTAAAAGGGGAAAATAGGCTCCAGTCTCTTTCTCTTATTCATAGCATGTTCTTGCCATTTGAACTTGTTAGAGGCAGATGCTTTCACTTGGATGGTTACAAAGCCAAAGAGAACATGTGTGCTACAAAAATCAACCAGCTTAAATACAGCTTGATTTCCTACTTCACAAGGATCTTGTATTGTTTCCAAAGTAACTGTTTAGTCTGGAATTGACATAGTTACTTCATTCACTTTTTAAGTGCATAAGATACTATTGCCAGCCCACTGCATTCCAGTGTTTTCCTTGTTGTCCTCCCCTGTGTTTTCACACCTGATGTGTGGTAATTCTCTTAAGGGCTGGTGCTTAAAGCACTGGATTAGGACCTAGGATGACTAGGTTTGAATCCCTCTCTCAACCGTGGAAGCCTGCCAGGTGACCTTGGGGCCATCACAATCTCTCAACTGAATCTACCCTCACAAGGCGGCTGTTGTGACGATTGAATGGAGGAGCAGGGAATGATGCAAAAAGCCATCCCAAGTCAGGGAGAAAAGCAGGATATAAATACAGCAACAACAAGAATAAATGTAAAGTATAATTGTACACCCAGCCTATTCAGTCTTGGATTGGCAAAGGATTATTGAGAGTTCTATTTGCAGGAAAATTGTTTTCTTTTATTTATTATGGTTGTAGTTGTACAAAAAAAGAAAAAAAGTCATTATGGTAAAGGCACTTATTAAAGTGCCACCTCCAACAAAAACTGAATAGCAAGGATCAGTTCAGAAATTCTGCAGTCATTGTGGAGTGAGCAAGCACTAACTAATTAAGCAGAGAACCAGAAATGGTTGTCAAAAAACCCAGAACCTTTGCCGAATGGGATCTTTCCAAATAAATAATAAGAGTCAGGGATGCCATGATGATTGTGTTCAACAGTCAAACCTGCAAGATTCAACTGTGTTGATCAAATGTGAGCAGAGTTAGTTTGGCACCCAACTGCACTGCATATTTGCAAAACAGAACATGTGTGATAACACTGCTGATCCAAATAGAATGGCAAGATGTTAACATCACTAAGGACTACTTAGGTGAAAACTGAACAATAGAATTTTTAAAGTGTTTATTTTCGACTGGTTTGTGACTAATATAGCTATCTATTTGAACAACTGCTTGTCAAGCAGAGCAGCAAAGGAATGGGAGAAGGGAAAGGAAGGGACTGGCTGTGGCTCAGTGGAAGAGCCTCTGCTTGGCATGCAGAATGTCCCAGGCTCAATCCCCAGCATTTCCAGTTAAAAGGACCAGGGTGATGTGAAAGACCTCAGCCTAAGACCCTGGTCAGCTGCTGCCAGTCTGAGTAGACAAGACTGACTGACGGCCTGATTCAGTTTAAGGCCTGATCCATGTATGTTTAAGGTGTGTGTGGATCACAACAAACTGTGGCAAGTCCTTAAAGAGATGTGAGTACCAGACCACCTCACATGTCTCCTGAGAAACCTGTATAAGGGTGAAGACAACTGATTGGTTTAGCATAGGAAAAGGAGTATGACAAGGATGGATATTATCACCCTGCTTATTTAATTTATATGCAGAGTGGATCATGCGAAATGCCAGCCTGGATAAATCATAAGCCAGAATTAAGATTGCCGGGGAAAACATCAACAACCTCAGATATGCAGATGATACCACTCTAATGGCAGAAAGTGAAGAGGACCTAAAGAGCCTCTTGCTAGAGATGAAAGAGGAGAGCACAAAAATTGGCTTGGAACTCAGCATCAAAAAAACTAAGATCATGGCATCCATCACGCCTTGGCAAATAGAAGTCACTGAAGCTGTGACAGACTTTCACATTCCTAGGATCCAAGATCACTGGAGATGGTGACTGCAGCCATGAAATTAAAAGACGCCTGCTCCTTGGGAGGAAAGCGATGGCAAACCTAGACAGCACAATAAAAAGCAGAGACATCACCCTGCCAACAAATGTCTGTATGGTCAAAGCAATGGTATCCCCAGTAGTCATGTATGGCTGTGAGAGTTGGACCATAAAGAAGGCCGAGCACTGAAGAATAGATGCTTTCGAATTATGGTGCTGGAGAAGACTCTTGAGAGTCTCTTGGACTGCAAGGAGATCAAATCAGTCAATCCTCAAAGAAATCAACGCTGACTGTTCCCTGGAAGGTCAGATGCTGAAGCTCAAATACTTTGGCCACAAAATGAGAAGGGAGCACTCACTGGGGAAGGCCCTGATGCTGGGAAAGACTGAAGGTAACATAAGACGGGGACAGCAAAGGATGAGATGGTTAGACAGTGTTATTGATGCAACGAACATGAAATTAAGCAAACTCCGGAGGATGGCGGAAGACAGGAGGGCCTGGCATGATGTGCTCCATGGGGTCATGAAGAGTTAGACTCGACTGTGCGACTGAACAACAACAACAACAAGGTGTGTGTGTGGGAAATAGAATTCCATTGGGCTGTGTGAGAACGCCATGTTGTAGTGTTCTGTTAGCAAGGAATAGTTGAAATGACCTACTGAACAGCCCTGAACAGGTCAGTTAACTGACAAACTGTCTGTCAAAAAAAATCAGCTCCTTGTTTCTGACTGGTAAAGAGAGTGTGAGCTGAAGCAGCAGGTGTTCTAGCATCCCTACTAATGTCTTGGCCAAGGGGATGAGCATTGCCAGTGGTTATGGGGAACACGGCGCCATATTAAGTGCCATGTGGAGCCACTTACAGCTGATAGCAGAAAACAATTGACTGAGCCCTAGCATGAAAGCAGCCTCATGCAGAAGAGCTGGGTTAAGACCCCCAACTGAGACCTACAGAGCTGATTCCAGTTGAAATAGGCTAAGGGGACTGACAGTCAGACTCAGTAAAAGGGAGCCTCTGATGTTTGTAGTCTGTTCTTTCATGTTACAGGGGAGTCTGTATTGAATAAGAAAGGATGGGTTTGTGTGTGTGAGAGAGAGAGAGATCAGAAGAGCCCCTGTGAGTCAGACCAAAGGTACAATGGTCCACCATGCTTAGGGATCGACACAAACCAGCTCACATACTAAAGTTCATTATGATCTTGGTTGGCTTGTGGTTCGTGAACTGAAGTTTGTGACAGATCAACTGGCACGAACGTTCCACATACCGTGGCGGTTTGTGGTGGTTTGTGAATGGATACATTTCCAGAAAGACTGTCTCCACTCAATCAAAATGTTTACCGAACTTCAAAGCAGCAGGGAGGGGCGGAATTCTCCAGCCTTGGAAACACCAATAGGGGCCCTCCAAAGCTTAGCAGGCACTGTGGGCTGGCAATAACAGAGTTCCCATTCTGTTCTATGGGATCAGAATGCTATATCCACCCTCAGCTCAGCTCTGCACCCTCTCCTCTGTTTTATTTATTTATTTTACTTATTTATTTTATAAATTCAATTTATAGCCCGCCCTCCCCGCTGCGCGGGCTCAGGGCGGCTCACAATTAGGCATACGCCTACACAAAAAATAGATTAAAACCATATAAAATCCTTACTACATACATCAA